ATTTGACTCGATCCAGATTAAGTTTTCGTGTTTAAGCAAAGTTGGCGATCATCAAGGCTATTTGATGATAGATTTCCATGACATAATTTTTTATATAATGTGGTTATCCATATGGATAAGGACAAATGAGAAATTGTTTTTGTGTTGGAGAATTAGTACCTGACTTCGGTTCGTAAAATATCATATATATAAATGGGTGTTTTTTAGTTGTCTACAGATACCAAGTTGAGTTTATGTATAACGACTAACGGTAGCAGTACACCATAAGAAAATTAATCAGTGAAACTCGAAATTGAATTTTCTACTTTTTTATGATAGTTATTCTCATTTTTATGTATTCATTTCATCTAATTCTTTTCCGGTTACTTCTGATTTACAAATGACACAGTTTTGAAGTATTTATGCCGTTACGGATGTACAAGTTCACAATGCTAAAGTATAATCCCGCGAGGCGGGATCGTGGATGCGCACTGTTGAGGAGTCCAACAATAGGAAGAAACGGCCGTCCAGTGTTTCCACGGTGGTCTAGCTTCAATTGACTCACGATCTTAGCTATATAAAACAAATCTATTGTTACATAGATAAGATTTATAATAATTTATCCCAAATGCAATGTTGGCTGGCGTAGAAGAGGGTTGGGAAACTTGGCGTGACCGAATGAAGATATATGATTAGTGAATAAAATCACTAACTGTTGGATTGAATGATGTTAGATGATGCAAACTACTTCGTTAGGCTCCGTGTGAGTATCGTATATAATAGTTGAAGACGCTGAGTGACATAACTTAGATTCAGTTACAATGGTGAAAATACATTCACTCTGCTTTCCCTCAAATACTAAGCTTTTAAATAAGTTCATAACCTTTATTACTCATATTAATTCCTTCTCGAATCATACTTTCTATGCCTAATTTTTGTACTATCCCCGATACTACTAGCTCTACTACTTTGGCATTTTCATTGAGTTTTTTTTTCTGTGAAAATTCCCCGACGCAATAAAGCCAAATTATGGCCACTAGTGTGGACTTATTATTTGACCAAATATATCAATCTGGTAAGAAAATTCCTTTTCACAGATTGAATTACCAGATAGCTAATGGCTGTCATACAAGAAATTTCGGTACCATAAAAAAATGTACACTAGAATCACTTTATCAACGCCTTTTGACCTAACCTGTATTTAATATACACTAAAATCCGTACTCAGTCTACCATCAGCATCGTGAACGAAGAACTTCATTCTGCAATGAAAAACTGTAGAGTGACGGACAAGAATGGGAACTGTTGGGAATGTGTGACCTTTAGAAATCTGTAGCCTCTAGTCGCTTTAAATGACTTAGTGATGTGTGGGCGAGAATGACAATGATTGGTTGTCTTGATGAGTCAGACATTAGATAGGATGACAGGTGTTATGTGTTATATATGTATTCCCCTATCCTTATTATGTATTGACCGTTCCTTGTTGATGGACACTTATTGATTGTCTGTTTCTTGTGTCGGATTTTGGTGTGGAAATATATTGACGTTATAGTCAGGCTAATCCCGTGTTATTGATCTGAGTTGTGTTGAAGTCCTGTAGAATAGACACTGGGTGGGAATCTAATGTAGATATTCGTCTAAGGTAAATTATCGTCCCACATACGTGTAAAAAGTAAAAGAACTGTTATAACCAGAACCCCTAGAGTTATAATCAGTATCCTCTCTTCTACGTTATAACCAGCATCTCTGTTTATAACACTTAGAATCGTGTTTTTTTTTGTATCTTATAAGATATTTGTCATTTTACTACAGATACATTTCACTGATCCGTTGTCACTTGTTATTCATTCATTTTAAAGAGCTTGAGTCAATAATTAGGCACTCTTGATCAACCAGTCAAATATCCTTTCATACATTCCAATAGTTGGTTGTAGTCGTTATTACCAAATGAAAATCACTAAGATAATCTCATCACATTTCGTTAAGCAATTCTTCTTTTCGACATAACTTTCAGAGAGTATTACACGTTTTTCGTCATGCATTAGCACCAATCGAAATCCAGGGAGAGTTGAACATCCGTACCATTCTGGTTTGACTCATCAGATGCACTTAGGACTGAATTCAATATCTTGTGGGAAACATTATATTCAGACTAATGAGTTGATGTGAAATTGTTTACCTTTAACTAACTAATACGCGACATGACATAACCACTATCCCGAGCCATTGGTGATTTGGATAAACTCCACCAACTGGAGGTTAGTTACTAGCGAACACATCATTACAATTCGGTTATAGCCATCTAACATCAGTCGATAGTATTTTGTAACTATAAACTAAACTAGTTCTCACAACTCTGTGAAATTGTACTGTTTATCCTATCATTGATATCAATGACAAACTATTATTTATTGTCCTAAATAATTTAGAACGTCAAAATGGAGTGTAGTCAATAAATAGAACTGTTTAGAAATCTGTAAAACATCATGAAGATTCATACTTCAGTATAAAGATCTGTCGACTGTATTTATGAACTGATTCTAACATGACCGTTCATGCGCCGTGTCGTCAAATGTGTCTAGTTTAGGTGAACTAGTTAAACACTAAATTAGGTATTCAACGCCACTTCCTAAGACTTCACCGTTATCCCCAAAAAAGTCACTTCTAGACGCTTTAACGCAAATGTAGGATATGTTCTTTTGTCTAAATATTAGATGGTTACCGATTACAGATATAGAGGAATTTCATAATCAATCCTTATTACTCACACGTCATAATCCTAAAAGCAGTAAGGAAAACACTTTTATCAGACCTACTTGTGCCTGTAGAATATCACAGGAATTCTTCGATTCGTGAGACCGACTTGTAGCTAATTACATCCATCATTGTAACATGCAAGTCTAGAGAGCATTAGACTATTTACTAATCGTAAGCCCATCTAAAACGCGACCCAGATCATCGAGTAAATAAGACAGCAACATAGAAAGTTCTTCCGTTTCGCTACACGTTTTCAAACTCTAATAAACAAATAATTCGCGATCTTGTGAATACCTTTGCTGAGACTATATTTCTATTTATCCAAGCTGAAATTCGTCCATTACTAAATAGACACAACAGCTAATTTCTAGCTGTTAGTGCACCAATAACTGTTCTTTTAACAATAAAGTTGTGGATGCACTTCGTAAGATGAAATTGATTCAAAACTATCTGAACAACGCTTTTTCAGACAGTGAAAATAACCATAGATTTGTAAAATCCCAATCGCCTGAAAAATGAACTTATAAAGCTTTGTTTCTTTAACGAATAAATAATACATTCGATGTAGAAGTTCCTCAACCACAATAGTAGACAAAATCAAGGCGTTAGATCTCAGATTAGTAACACAAACCGACTACGGCTAAAATCATTAAAAACAAAAAAGTACTAGACAATTGCTTCGTTCTCGTATACGGCCTTCTATTGGTGAGCACCCGTCTTCATTCAATGATGGATGCAAGCTCTCCATACAGTAAGTCATGAAGACTGTGAACCACTCCAAAACTTCGATTGGATTAGGGCATTGAATACAAAATGGGAGTTCAAAAAGGTTCACATGTCTGAGAAGTGAACCATAACGTTAGCCACTTAACGTAACAAAACCACAAGCTTAAGAGTTACTCACAATAACACATGTATTTAATAATTAACAGTTCAGTGAAATCGGTTACAAACTTTTTGCGTACAACTCCCAACATAGTCCTGCACATTGATTGACAGGTAAACAAACTGTTTAGCATTTTGGTAGTTTCGAAGAAAATAGTTCAGGAAGTATGAGTGAAGCAAAATTAGAGAAATGGCAAAAATGGATGCACAACCGCCCAAAAAGACAAAATAGGAATGGAAAGTTCGAAAAGGACAATGCTTGGGGACAAAATAGAAGATATATACAGACATGCAGCAGTAAAAACCAAGAAAGGTAATCATCTTGTTGAACACAAAAATCTTAGAGACAGAAGGTAAGAAAGACAAGGTAGAAGCCAAAAACAGATGAACTCAGTATAACAAAGGCTAAGTAAAACGACTAAAATGAGAAATAGAGTGGAACCAAACAATACTATTTAAAGATCACAGACATGCCACAAAAGTTCGGAAATTCAAAATCAATAGTAACATGGAAGACCAAAAGAAAGTAGTGCGATGGACAAATACACAGAAAAGGCAAATAGGTACAGAGGTACCGAAAGACAAAGGCAGAGTAATAAGTTACACAATCACACCAGGAGAAATTGAGAATCTGATTGGTGAAAAAAATGAAGGTTAAACTCAGACTGATTGAAAGGCTAGCTCAAACAATTTATTACAATGGTATTGAGCTAACCCAAAATGAAAAAAAACTAGGAAGACATACTAACATGATCAAAAAAACAGGTGAGATAAAACCAAACAACCATGAATAAATAAATAAATAGGAATAGGCAAACAGCCAAGGCAACCATAAAGTTTTATACAGACATACAAAATGAATCTAAGGAAAATCCTGAAGAATTAGCAATGCAACAGACGGGGGCCTTGGAGCAAAATCTTGGATTGATAAAATGTGAAACAAAAACGAATGAGCTAACGAAATAGAAAGATTTTTGTTTTAATAGTTGAGAACTAAGAGGAATGAAACAGTAGAGCAACAACCGCATAAACGGCTTTAATTAAATGCAAAATAGAAGGGGCGGTTGTTAGATCATTCTACTAGGTTGGCTATCAAAGACAGGAATTTATGAAAATATGAATGTAAGACCTGTTACGGATCGTGAAAATAAGAAAGCATTGTGAAAGGTAATAAACAAGCGGAATTCCATTGAAGGTCGGAGCATATCAAAATAATTTGAGCCATAGATAATGTATAAACTACGGATGATAAAATGAAAGTCAAAATATTAATTGTGACACGCACTGATGTAATTAATACGAAGGAAATAACCTAAGTGATTTAAAGACCAAAATCTTACTTCCATAAACCATTACAGTATAGCGGCTATAGTAATTAACTAAAAATCGAACCCTCTAGTAGCATCAGTATTACACTGATCAGCATCAAACTGGAAAGTAGCTGGAACTTGTGGTACCGAGATAAAATCACCCAAATGTTCATCTTCAGCAACCCCAGTTGTATTTGGATCGTCAATCATCTGTAAATGGTAAAAAAAAGTACCAAAGTATTAAAGGCGGTGAACTCGTAATGAAAAAGCATTCAAGTGAATAGAGAGGATGGATTTTCTCAAAATAGAGCTTATCAGTTATTTTGGGAACGAGAAGTGCTCAAATCGTGAATCATAATTTCAGATAAACTGGAGAAAGTCGTTTAAAGCTACGGAGATTGTTACAAAAACTTCAGGTTAGAGATTGAAGACCAACATTTTAACTACTTTGGTCCCAAAAATACAAAATAATACCAGTTACCTGAGATCATCAACAGAGACAAGCATTTTTTTTAAAATGTAGAACTCTTTATTAAAATTAGTTTCTAGGTGTTCAGGGGTAAGACATTTTTATTATTGTTTATTCATATGTTTCATAACAAGGTAAAGATAAGTTTGTCTTTTCATTAACATTAGCCCCAAACAAAACACGATTATTCATGTTGTGAAGTTATCTTTTGATATTGGTTTATTATAATATTAATAGTATGTTTTTTAGTAAATAAGATTACAACAAAGTTTGACAACAAATCAAGTCATTTTTTTGTATAGACAGCATTAATAATTATCATAGAGATTGAGGGGATATTTATCCTAGAAATGAAACTTACCCCTTCGTTAAAATATCGTTCGATTATGTCATATGCCAAACGATATATGTCGATATTTGTATGTTCTTGAAGGGCTTCGATAAGATCCAACCCACCACATTCTTCGATTGCAGTTGTAACCTGTTCCAAGTTATCGCCAGCTGCTGCTAATATATTTGATATTCCATCTAAAACAACTTGAGCGACCTGGACATCTCTAGTATTTAGCATTTTACAGAGTGGAGGAATAACGCGTTGGTCGATGACGTACCTTACCTTGGAACAAGAGAGTGCACAAGATCATAATTATAAAAACAGGATATATTTACTGCGTTTTGTTTGACATTTTTTACTCAACTGAAAAGGACTTAAATTCATCTTGTCATTTATGAACGATTATTTTCAGCATGTACTGAAGTTGTATTCAAGGGGCGATTTCCATTAACGGACATTTGATAGCTTACAAATTGATTATTCAAGAACCTATGGGACCAATAGTATGAAAATGGGGTGCTGTTGTAGAATGACATCTTTAGATTTGACTTACGAATTATCGACTACTACCTACTAACATTTCAAGTGCTGATCGCCTTTGAGAATTTTAAAATAAGTTCATGGAACAAGTAAACATACCTGTTCAGCATTTCCGTTGATCGCCAGATTTGAGATAGCCCATGCAGCTTCTTTTTGTGTCAAGAACTCGCTTTCAGCCAGGTGATGGATAATTAACGGAACTAGCCCATGGTCTATCACAGCTTGAACTTGACTTTGGTTCCCTGCAGTAATATTGGACAGAAACCAAACAGCTTCTTTGTTGATTTTATCTCTCGGGTGAGTCAACAAAGACGCAAAATGACTTAGAGCTCCACAGTCCAAAACAACTTGAGTTTGTTGGTCTGAACCTGTAACTATATTTCCAACGGCACGCAACGCAGCAGTTTGTACCTTGAAACTTGAATGTGATAACAATGGGACCAAATGAGGCACTATCTCTGCATTTATAACCATTTCAATTTGATCGTTTCCACCATCAGTTAGATAAGATATAGCCCAAACAGTGTCGACGAGAATCTGGAAATTTACAAGACCGCAAATAAATAAAAAGAACGTTTAATAGACTGATATTATGTAAGTCACACTAATTTTTGTGACGGTAAAACCCAGTTTATAATGTAAATGACGAAAGTTTGTACAGTTGATTACGAAACCTAAGAAACTAGTACCTATCCTTATTTTGTTCTCGACGAACTCTTCTCGCAATAAATACTTATTGTATGCTTACCATGAAACACATTTGATTAAAAATTAATAGCGGTTAAGAAATAACTCTGATCACGTAGTTTTATGGAATAGTGCAATGTTTACGACTGAACAATAGGGACTTTTCCCTTCTATAGGATTCGAAATACAACAGACTGACATAAGGTTAACACAACACAACACGACCACAGCCTACCGATTTCCCAATTTCATCCCACAAACATGAATGAGATGGGGATAGTTTTATAACACAACACATATGTTTTACATTACACCATATATATATGTATATATGATTTACAACGATGAAATAATATTCAGGTACATACGTTACATATAATTACATAATGACACTGATTATGAACATTGAAAAGGATTAGTAATAATCAAAGTAATTACTCAAAAATCAAACAGCTGCTACGTTGCACAATATACAAAAAGAGAAGGAACTAACAAAATATTTTGGTGAATGGTCAACAGTATAGTAGTTATGCAAGAATCAAGAGACGAATGCTGAGAATAAGTAAAATACGGAAATAGTTACCAAAGGCATACTACAAACTCCTTTATGCCGATGGCCGAGGTAGCGAGAGTGGTTGTACGAACTTCTTTTCGATGCAAAGGCTTCGTTTGTGATCATGGATTGCAATGGCTTCAGCAATGTTCAAAAGACGAACTCGTGAACAATGCGGCGAATTTGATGGAATATGGTGGATAATCTTAAAAGCATTATGTTCAGCTAGATGACCTGTATCCACTGAATGAGCGAGCATAATATTCATCAAAGCTCTTCAGTCACCACAAGATGCTGAGATCAGGGGTAGACTTTTAACTCGCCTGGATCAAGACCCAAACGTCACACTCAGCACATTGACAGATTAGTGTAAATAGCTACAAAACATCGGACACGACAATGGGTTAATCGCACAGATAAATCTTAATTTAACATGCAGTAGTATCAATGCTATTACTAGGTTAAAAGTTCAGAAGCCGATAACAAATCGTAGAAAACCAACGACTGCATGTTGGTTATGCGGTGATTGGCATTATGCACGATTCTGGCCATTTAAGAAGCATAAGTGTCAGGTGTGCAGCAGATGTGGACATAAAGGTCATTATCCACCGAATCGTACGTCCCAGCGTAAAAAGAAACATAAACGTCCTCGAAATGTGGTGAAATCAGCCGAGTCTAAATCTTTTTCTCTGGTAGCAGCCTTTCGAACAAACTACAACATTCAAGGGAAGTATGTTACCATCCAGATAAACGGCATATTAACTCGTCTTTAAATTGACACGGCATCAGATACCACTCTATTGTCCAGAGAAATGTAAAACTTGCTGGAGAAACTTTCAATGAAGCCATCGAAAAAAACGGCTAAAAACGCATTAGTATGTATATTAAAACTAGCTGGCGAATTACACTGTGAATTTCCCTGCAATGGAACTAACTGTAACGGAACATGATATCTGACTGAACGACCAAACCTTGACCTTCTTGGTTTAGATATTTCAGAAAAACTCGGAATAAAGGATACACCCATTAACAATGTCTGCAATATTTCGTGTCCATTATTGGACACCCGATACTTGCAAAAAAGATAGATGAAAGGTTACTAGAAAAACAGAAGAGAAAGTTTGCCTCTACTTTTCAGAATAGCCTTAGCTACTGTACCAAGATGAAAGCTCACATACTAGCGAAACCGGATGCCAAACCTATTTTCGTCCGAGACGTCCTGTACCATAAGCTGCTGTGAAAAAATCGAAAGGGGAGGGGACCACCGACGAGATCTTAGAGAGATCCCTACTTAGTTGTCGCTATCCTGAACCCTCAGACGATTAACGGGGTCTCTGCAGCAGAAGCTTTACTTGGCAGAAAAATACGGACACACTTTGATGTTATTTGTCCGATGCCAGCTCTTGAGCCTCAACGAAACGTATCGATGGAGAAGCAGTTCAATCGACACCATGGGGCACAAAGATGAATGTTTACGATGGGTCAAAAAGTAATTGCTATGGAACATCGTGGAAAACATCCTACATGGACAGCTGGTCGGATCGTGCAAAAGAAAGGGAGTGTAGTTTATGAGGTGTCAGTAGACTCAGAAGTTTGGGTACGTCATGTTAACCAATTGAAAGCGACTTCGATAGCCAGTGACGAGAATCCATGTCGATTACCTAGTGACGTTCAACTAGACACCTTTGAAATCAAAACGCCCGGAACAGACAGGTCAGTTTCTGTGCAAGCAAACAATGATACCACTTATTTATTGCCTAGACGATGGACAAATTGAAAGCACAGGTTAGTCACTCGGTTGCAGTTGGACCCCGGCACCAGATCCTACGACCCTGCTTGAAGGGAAGATGGTAGTTGAACATGGATTGGACTAAAACACGTTCCTTGAACGATTGGGTTGGTACACACCGATTAGCTAATTCTTATTTAATCAGTGCTAGTCGATGGTTGGAGAACACTCTAGAATCTTCTCATGTAAAAACTATAAATAGACTAATGTATCTCCCATTGTGCTTCCTACTTCCATCTACCCTTGTTATTCAGAATATAATTCCCTTCCTGTTTAACCGTGTTCTGATTTGAGGACTTGTTGAGTGAATTGGTGTCCAAGATTACTAAGCAACAGGAATAGCTGGGTCCTGATAAGAGAAACTATAACCGGCAATCGCTTTTTTCCATTTACTCAATGTTTGTAATCAAAATGTCATTATGTAATTACGACTTAACGTATCTAGTCGAATATGATTTCATTATTATTAAAGTAATTGTGAAAATCAGACTATGGAGACTGCATAGAATGAGATGAACGAATAAAAAATGACACTAGTTACAATGTAAATCCTATAACAAGCAGAATGTATTAAAGTTCATATCCACATATAGATTTAAATAATGTAGATATTAAATATGGAGTAACTTACACTATCATCAGTGTGTTTTATTAAATATAAGAGAGCTGGGAGAAGTTCTCTGATAGCTGCGGCAGGAGGAGGAGGGTCCTTGTTACGACAAAGGTTGACCATTACCCAGGTGACATTGCGTAGGAAGTTCAACGGTATATTTGGTGTTAAGAGCTTTAATAGTGGTTTTATGACATCCAATTTAATAACGTAATCTCTTAATACCGGACCATCTCCGATTATATTACCTAAGGCCCAAACAGCCTGCTCGCAAACATTGGGGTGTGAAGAAGACAACAGCTTTAGGAAACGTGGCACGGCTCCTGCCTGAACAACAGCTAGAGTCTGTCCAGATGTGCCTGATGCAATATTCGTTAGGGCCCATGCAGCTTCAAATTGAAGATTGGGACTAAAATAAAGAAATGTATTATCGGGAATGATTCAGTTGGATATAAGATCTTACTAACAAGTGCTTTTGATCATTTCAAATCCTCAGACATTATTGGGTAAGCTCTAATTCTAGAAATATCTGAGAAGTCAACTAAGTCAAACCAACTACAAGTTTAAACAAACGTAAGACTTTAAACCTCGAGTGCAGCCCACTATATATATCAGGTACTGTTTTGAAAACTTTAATAGAGATTACTGAGTCCGTGGGACTATTTAGGTCATGTAGAAATTTCATCAACCAACCACAGACTTAGTATTCTCAAGTGAATTGGCCAACTATCTCACACTCAATCTGAACGATGACGCAAACTGGTTCTGAAGCGCATCCCCAATATCCCTATATTGTTTGTTACTTAAGGAGTTCAAAAGATGCTCTAAGATGTCAGCAAAGAGACAAGTCCACGTGATAACTGCCTGAGGTATGTTACAGACGGTTTCCTCGATAAAGGTCCCTAATGTGTTAGCTAACCGTCGGGGTCGTGTTAAGTCGAAATTTGACTTGCTTAATCACTCTCATCCCAACATCTGAGATGATTATCTATGAGAAAAGCCTAGATCACATTACGGTTCGGACAAATTCAACTACAAACCTGACTTCCTGGATTTGGTCCAAATGTCTTCTAATCGATCTCGGTATAGCAGAGACTCAAGAAACAAGTGCTTTAGTCAATAATACATAGCTTGTAAAATTGATTTGAGGACCGACGAGAACCAAACACTAGACAAAGTATTCACTAAGTGGAAGAAACTTCAGCGCCGAAACCGCTTGTTTCCATTTATTACGTGATTTAAAAACCATAGATCGATGCTATTTATCTGAGTCCTTAAAATAACATTAGGATTAAAGACTCATTTGAACATGAGAACCAACTCATCACCCCTACAAACTCTAAACTCCTGACATTAGCTCTAACATAAACCACGGCACAGTATGACACACGGAAATCGGCCACACACCAGTAGTCGCAGAATAAAACTAAGAAGGGTCGGGTAACCAAAGGAATGAAGTGTTGGGTAAATAATACGACCCATTCAGTAATATGGCCGAGATTTTCTTTAGTTGCGAGTTTACGTTAATTCCGTAAAGCCTGGATCGGGAAGTCATGATGATTCGACAGACGGCCTGAGGTGATATGTACTAAATGGCCACCATTTTACCAGACTTTTACCTACTGATTCTACTTACCAGACTATAACTCACAATTAACCAACTCATGAAAACTGCTCAGATGTGGTATTTGAGCCTACCGTCCTATTTAAGTACAAAAATATGAACGTATTAGATAAAACCGACTCACAAAGACATAAATGCGACAAATTCAAGTCATTTGTGGGAAGAATGAATTACAGCGAGGGGATTGACTTACTCTTCGCTCGTCAGACAAGCGACCAACTTTGGCAGCATACCAGCATTTATAAGTTCGTCAATAGGAGGATTCCGATCACTGGAAAGAAGCTTGCGAGCTGACTGAACGACCAACAATCTGACAGCTGGGTCTTCGTTCTCAGCATTTGCTACTATGGATTCCAGGTTTAGCAACGTTGACTTTCCAGTCCCATCGATTTCCGTGTCAACAGGGTCATTAGTCGTCTGTGGTCCGTTAGTTCCAGTAGGAATGTTCCTTTTCTTTTGAAGTGTTTCTTCGCGTTTGTTTTTGCGAAGTTCTACTTGCCCTTCCTGACGACGACGACGCATCTCCTAGAGTGAAAGCACGATAAGAAAAAGTACTTATACTTACGTCTGCACTCTTGCCAGCATTTTTAAAAGACATAATACGCACCGCCGCCTGATCACCCATCTTTGATTGATGAAGTTACCAAACGAATGTGAAACCGAGAGACCTGAAGGAAAGATTCAAACAAACGGGTTTCGATGCTCAGTCTTCAGTCTTCAGTAATAAGGATAGAAGGTCTAGTGACCTATTTTAATGCAGTTTGTTACACTGTGGAGGTCCAATCTCGTCTTGAATATATCAACAGAAGGTGCTGATATTACGTGTTCTGGTAGAGAATTCCAGTAATTCACTACTCGGTGCGAGAAACGAAACTCCAGACGTAGACGATTTGATCTCGGTTTTTGGACTTTCTTTGAATGTCCTCTCAAACGCTCAGCCCTAGACGGGAGGAAAAGATAGGACATGTTAGTACCAAGGTCATCGTTCAGGATACGATATGCCAATATTAGATCACCCCGTATTCGCCGGTAAGATTAAGGAAATAAGTTGAAGTGTCTCAGTCTGTCTTCATAAGATAGGCTAGATAAGCCTTTTACCATTTTTGTCCCGCGGCGTTGGACTCGTTCCAACATATCCGCCTCATATTTGAAACAAGGACTCGCTGCTTGAATCCCATATTCCAAATGTGGCCGTACGAAAGTTGGGTATAATAATCTAAACATTTCCCCATCCAGATACCGGAAAGATCTACGAATAGACCATAATGCCCTATAGCCTTTTGTAGCAGCAGCCTTACAGTGACTGCTTGTTTTGAGATCATTACTTAGTATGACTCCTAAATCTTTATAGTTTCTTACTTTGGGCAACACTTACTTACTTATAGAAGGGGTTTTGTGGAGATTTAGTATTTATCATTGTTGAAAGCATGAGTCAATTGAAGCTAGACCACCATGGAAAACCTGTTTCCAGGTTTTCCATGGTGGTCTAACTTACTTACTTACTTACGCCTGTTACCCCTTGTGGAGGAGCATAGGCCGCTCACCAGCATTCTCCATCCAACTCTGTCCTGAGCCTTCCTTTCCAGTTCTTTCCAGTTTGGGCAACACAAGTCCACATAATGTGTAGTGATACGAATCATCGTAGTTATTTAATTGCATCACGACACTTTTATTAGGGTTTACTTCTAGTGACCACCCATTCATCCATGCAACTAGTGAGTTAAAATCTTCCTGTAAAACTATTCTGTCTGACATACTATATATGGGTCTCCAAATCTTAATGTCATCGGCGAATAGTAGGACGGATGACTTAGCTATAGCTGGTAATTCATTTATATAAAGTAAAAAAGAGAAGAGGACCTAAAATCGTGCCTTGGGGGACGCCACTTTTTACTGGTTCCCACGATGAGAGAGCCCCATTTACTCTTACCCGTTGTCTCCTTTCATGAAGAAAGTCACTTAGCCAGTCTATGACTGCATAATGAATTCCAAAACTTTCTAGTTTCAATTTAAGACCAGAATGGGAAACCTTATCAAAGGCTTTACTTAGATCTATGAAAATGACATCTACAGGAATATTGCGATCTTTTGCCTCAGCCCAATCTTCTCTTGCAATGAGAAGATTTGTCAAACATGATAGACCTTTTCGAAAACCATGTTGTTCCTTTGACAAAAGATCATGTCTTTCCACGTAGTTTATAACAGCCATCCTAATAATTTTTTCCATTAGTTTTACAACTGCACTAGTTAAGCTGACGGGTCGATAGTTACTAACTAAATCCCTACCCCCAGTCTTATACACCGGACTGATTATTGCGTCCTTCCAGTCTCTGGGCAATCTGGACTGCCGTAGGGACATATCGAACAGCATCGCTAAGGGTTCAGCAATAACATCTGAGAGGGCTTTCATAATCCGAGGATGAATATCATCAGGACCACTAGACTTATCAGGTTTGAGATGCTGAAGTAGGCTTAAAACAGTTTCTTTCTTAATAACTACAGGGTCCATCAACAAGTCGCCACAATCATAATGAATAGGTGATCGTTCCTCATTATTGGTCGAAAAAACTTTACTGAAATATTTCGAAAAAGCTTCCGCTTTTTCGGTATCATTTCTTGCCAAACTTAACGGATTTTCTTGTATCAAAAGTGATGGTATTCCATCACTTCTCTGAGTTCGCCTCTTTATATACGAGAATAACCGTTTTGGACTATGTTTGCAATCCCTAACCAATTGTTTTTCGTATGACCGTCTAGTTCTACTAATTAACGCTTTACAATTATTTCTAATCTTACGATAACTAGATCTGTACTGTTCTAAGCCAGTAGAGATGAACATGTTCCAGTGTTTTTTTCTACGCCTAAGGAGTTTCTTAACTTCTTTATTTATCCACGGTGGACTATTGTTCGGTCTACGTGGCACCAAGTATGGTATAAACGGGGACGTGACTGCACTAAACTTGCCTTTAAATACAGACCACGTCTCATCAACTGATGAGCTAGTATCTACTGACCAATCTATCTTAGTAGCACAATCCTGAATTTCTGGTATGTTAGCTCTCCATATGTTTGGGCGAGGCTTAATCTGATCGTATATCATATCGCTAGCTCTAAACGTGAATTATAAAACAGCGTGATTGCTATTTACTAACGGGGGAAGAATATTTAGGTTGGCAATATCCTCAGTCTCATGGGCAATTACCAAGTCCAACAGAGAAGAACCTTGGTTTACACCGAAACGTGTAGGTTTGGATATATGTTGTACTAATGCATGTTCCATTACTGTTTCCAAGAGCCTGCTATCAAATGAGTTTATAGAGCATTTCGTGGTCATCTCAGTCCAACTAATGTCAGGTGCATTAAAGTCTCCTAATATCAAGCATCTGTTATTTGCACTCCATAGCCGAATGTGCTCTAAAATAAAGTCATCAGCTAAGCAGATTGGGCTGCGATAGATGACACCGAGTGAAAATGTACAACATCCGACAGTGAGTTCACAGCTAATGACTTCACTAGTTCCACTATCATGGGATTCGCAAACGGAGGAGCGGATATTTATACTATTGGCTATGTATAGAAGGACGCCACCTCCTTTCCTGCATCTATGTATATCACTTCTTAAACAATGATATCCGGATAATTCTGGGGTGATATCGAAGTCATGGACTAACCAAGTTTCCGTCACAGCTACAATGAGTGGCCTTAATTTGTCCACTAATGTTCCTAGCTCGTAGAATTTATGTTTTAGACTACGGGCGTTGGCATATAAAACTCCTAGGGGGAACGACCTATCCACACAGGCCTTGGTAGCATTCGCTTCCAAGACCTGACTATTCGAAAACCCACCAATCGGAGATTTTCTTCACCGTTTTGTCGACGGGTTTCTAGTTCAGCTAGTGCCGTCTTCCTTTTTATTCTATCTTCAAGAGACACATCCGGTCGCATCCGAATGTCAGAGTTGTCGTGACTTCGAGCGTTACTTAACAGAAGATTACGTTGTTTCTCCGACCCTAAGATTACCTTAAGGAGTCTACACGGTCGGGGTAGAACACTGTCATCGGCCCTTTTACCTATTCTAACTAATTTTTGACCTGAACACCTTTAGTGTTATCTGGTAATATGCTACGGATATATTCTCCGAGCCTCTCTAAGTCATGGGTGTGTCTAACCTTAGAATCTGGATCGTTAGACTCTGGCAATTTACCCACAATAATATTCGATGATATTAAATTCCTCTCAGTCGCACTAGGATGATGATCTGCCGTTCTATCAGAGTGCGATAATGCATTGAGTGACTCAGACTGTGAGTTCCTCAATGGCTTGTCAACCAAGTGTGCTTTATCATTAGCTTTTTTTCCTTTTCTTTTCCTCTTTACTGCGGTCCATTTTTGGTCATTCAGGACAGCTGCATTGGGACTATTGGGGACGGTGACGGTTTTATCCGGGTCCTCAATTTCTACTAAAGATACATGATTACTCATGCCAATACCATGTGGTGATTTACTCCTCGTTTGTTGTAACGGAAGTTTCACTTTGTCATTAATTAGAGTAGGTTGTTCAGTGCGTTTTGTAACAGCACTTACAACACTGACACAGTCTTCACTGTCAGTGCTTGCGTTACTAGCGCACCCACTATCTTTCTCTTTACAGGCTAGAGCCAATAGGCTCATAGCCTCTTAAATTAATGTCGTCTTGTTAGTACAGCAGAACATACAAAGCCAGTGCGAGTTAGGCTTAGAACATCTTTTGTATGCAGCTAGACTGAGACGGGTACACATCTTGTGGTACCATTTTTTGCATTCATCGCACTGCTCAAACTGTTATCATATTATTGCGAAAGATGTAGAAAATTTATTTATTGTACAAACTGAATTTTTATCATTTTAAAGCACAGAAAAGAGGACTAGTTTTCTGTGACTTATGTAGAGATAGTTAGGGATTGCCTCGTGATGCAGTTTGGTGATTTCCCCAATGTATGTCTAATCCACTTCCAACGTCTTTTCCTAATCTCCTCTTCAGTTGGAAGCTGGTTTGTCCTCTCCCATAAAACGCTGTTGCTGATGGTATTCGCGTAAACAATTGTTTATAAATACATGTACCTTCTTGACGATGGATGAAGTAGTTCTCCACGTTTCAGCTCCATACAGTAGGACTGTCTTGACGTTCGTATTGAAGATTCTCACTTCGAAGTTAGTTGACAGTTGTTTGGAGTTCCATATGTTCTCCAATTGTTGGAATGCAGCCCTCGCTTCGCCAATCCTCGCTTTTACGTCTGCATGTGATCCTCCTTATTCATTAATAATGCTTCCCAGGTACGTGAATATTTCCACCACTTCCAGTGTTCCGCCATCAAGTGTGATTGGGTTGGTGTTCTCTGTGTTGTATTTCAGAATCTTGCTTTTTCCTTTGTGTATGTTGAGGCCTGTCGATGCAGAGGCTACTGTTACATTTGCTGTCTTCATCTGTATTAGTTCGTGTGTATGAGATAGGAGGGATAGTTAGTCTGCGAAGTCTAAATCATCCAAATGATTCTGAGATGTCCACTGTGTTCCGTGAATTCCCTCAGATGTCGAGGTCTTCATAATCCAGCCGACGACCAGAAGAAAGAGGAAGGGGGAGAATAAA